ACTATTCAAAGTTCCTCTTTGACTGATTGTTTTTTCATCTAGATTACAGGAGTCAATTTAAAGGCTCATTCCACAACCGCTTTTAATGTTGACATGGACATACTATGGTTGATTATATTAAAGTCCTGAGTCTCAAATAGATTCTTTACGTCTAAGAGTCCTTTAGACAGGAGAAGAGCCATTTAGGCTATTTTAATCACTTGAATCTACGTATGAACCCTCTCTATATTCCGACATATTGATGGCAATTTTGATTTAATTATTTATTATTTACTAATATTTTGTCCAGCTGACAGTCCTGGTTCTGGTTTCAGTGACCAGTAACAGGAAAGTCATTTTTTAGTACTTCCATTTTGGGGTTATGCCCCTTGACACCACTGGAGTGTCATTCAAAGGTGTGACTGACCACTAGGAGGGTGGTATATTCAAGTCTGGAATAACCACTACCTTTGGCCTAGTCAATTTCTACTACTTTTTTTGTTAAATTGGTTTCAGTACCATATCACCTTTTAAGTGTTGCCTGGTTATGGCCGGTTTTCTATGCCTGGTACTCTGACATAGACTCAGTCTTCTCTGAGGGGCACTTGCAAGAGAATATCACTCATACAAATATAAACTCAGCATTCAACCACTTAACATTCTTATTTAAACAGCAAATTAAAGCAGGCTGGGAGATAGCTTCCTTAGAAAAATATCTAAGTAAGGAACTTATTCCAAGAGGTTTGAGGGTTCAAAATATCCCTGCCCCACATATTGAAGAATCCGAGTTTATTAAAGAATGGGAAGAGGCAGCAGGAACATGCTCAAAAAAATTCATGGATATTCTATGTAGGTACAAAACTAAGAGACTAGAGAGAGTTAATAAAGAGGTGGACGAGGAGATTGAAAAAGTCCAGACGTACAAAAACGAACCCAACTTCGAACAATTTGAGATAAAACTCAAAACCAACCTAGATAAGTTTCAAACATCAATTAAACTTAGGAAACACTCCAAATTCATGAGAGATACAAAAGATTTTCAAACTGGTAATATCTACCGTAAATTTAAAAGCAAGAGAGTAGACTTTGATAGATTCTCCACATCAGAGTACGACTCCAGTGCATCAGAGCCTGATTCAAACCAAGAAAGCCCCTCAACGTCAGCAGAGGGTAATCCTAAAAGTATCCTTAAGAAAGGGTTTAATTTTTTAGAAAGAACGAATACAGAGAAAAGCCAAAGAAACACAAGAAGCAAAACCTCAACACGAGGATACAAAAGGAGAAAAGCTTATTAATACAAAGTAGCCAGATCATTAATTTGTCGTCTCATCAACTCACTCCCCTTGAGTCCCAGGTGCTTGGAAGAGGGCTGGCCTTTGTCCCTACACCCAAGTTCGATAAGTTTGTGTGGACAAAGGACATCCATCTTTTCGCACGCAAGTTGGCGTTACATAAGTTTCATGAGATTCAAAAATCTAAAAAGGCATTAAGACTGGGGTTGGAGGTTAAGGATATGGATCTTCTTGACAATCTAGTTGATCTCCTCAACAGCAATGACCTCCCTACGAAGAAGCAAGCACCCTTCACGAATCTGAAACTTAGAAGTAAATTCACACCATATATTTCGGAGTTTAAATACATCGACCTCTTTGTTAAACTGACATGCAAAGAAATTGAGGGTATGAGTGATGATTTTTATTCCTCTGACCATTTTGATAATTTGAGTCAAGCTGAAAGAAAAGCTCTCAATACACTAAGACAGAATGACTCAATTATCATAAAGGCTTCAGACAAAGGGGGCAACATAGTCGTTATGAATAAAACCGTTTATATTGAAATGGTCAGCAGAATCCTAGACGACAAAGACACATATATGATTCTGAGCTCAGACCCCACAGCTAAATATCTAAATGAATTAAAAGGAATACTAGAGGAAGCACTTCAGTCCAATCTCATTTCTAAGGATGAATTTAAATTTATGTTCAATAAAAAACCAGTGATAGCTACATTTTATGCTTTACCAAAAATTCATAAACAGCACAAAACATTGTCAGGGAGACCTATCGTTTCAGGCAATAACAATCTGACGCAGAATTGTAGTGTGTATATTGAACACATCCTTCGTGATCTAGTTAAGTCTCTTCCTTCTCATTTGAGAGACACTAAGCAGACCCTCAGCATCCTCAAAGATATGAAAATTCCGGCCAAAGCAAGCCTTTGTAGCCTAGATGTTGAGGGTCTGTATAGTTCTATTCCCCATGATGTTGGTATCAGACACGTTAGAACGTTTCTGTATATGAGAGACCCTACCCGCAATGAACACAATGAGTTTGTCCTCAGACTGTTGAGGTTTATATTGACTCATAATTACTTCCTCTTTAAAGGCAACTACTATCACCAGGTAAAGGGCACAGCGATGGGTACGACTTGTGCACCATCCTATGCCAACCTTCACCTGGGGTGGTGGGAAAGTAACATTGTCTTCAACCCTAGTCTCGATAAATTTAGCGTACACATAAACCTATGGAAACGCTATATCGATGACATTTTGATAGTGTGGACAGGTCCGATTGATCTATTCCATGAATTCGTGGAAGTACTCAATGTGAATGAGATTAACCTTAAATTCACTTTCGATATAGGAGGGAAAAGACTGAATTTTCTGGACCTAACTCTCGAAATTTCTCATAACAACGATTTCACCACCACGCTTTTCAAAAAACCAACCGCAACCAATAACTTTCTGAACTGGGAGAGTCATCACCCCCCTGCTTTAAAAAGTGGGATACCGACAGGCCAATATCTCAGACTAAGGAGGAATTGTTCCTCCCAAGAAGATTTTAAAATAAAAGCACAGACCCTGAGATCCCTTTTTAAAGCCAAGGGATATCCAAACAAGTGTCTAAAAAGAGCTTATCACAGGGCACTAGCTACTGAAAGGACCAACCTTCTGTCCGAAAAGTCCCCCCCCCAAAACAAAAATCAGGAAATAATAAGATGTATTGGAACCTTTGATTCGGGTTGGGACGGTATGAAAAAAACACTAGAGAGATTCTGGCCACTACTGTACCAAGATACACATCTGAAGGATGTGCTGACACCCCACGTATCGATTACAGCAAGGAGAGGTCAGAACTTAAAAGATATTTTGGTTCCAAGCCATTTATCTCTCCCAAAACCTATTAACACCTGGCTTAAATCGCCTGCTGCCGGCACCTTTCAGTGCGGCAAGTGTAAGGCCTGTAAATTTATCCGGAAACAATCGAAATCATTCTCTAACTCGGATAATACTGAGATACATACAACTAAAACCTTCTTTAACTGCAAAACCGAGGGCCTAATATACCTCATTACTTGCAGTTGCAATTTGAAATACGTGGGGAAGACTTTCAGACAGTTTAAAACCCGCATCCTTGAACACATAAACTCTGTGAATCCATCCAGACAGATAGATACATCTATATCAAGACATTTGAAAATTAAACATGCCGGCTCTGCACAGGGCTTACGCTTTAATGGAGTAGAAAAAATAAAGTTGGGACCAAGGAAGGGAGATCTGGACAAAAGACTCTTACAGCGAGAGAGCTTCTGGATATTTAAATTAAAAACTTTATCCCCCTTGGGCCTTAACGAAGGATTTTCATACACTCCCTTTATCCCTGATTAAATACCGGTTCTTCCCTAGCAACACTTCATTAATTTACTATTTAATAATTGGAAATTAATCCATCAAAAGAGTAAATACCACTTAGATACATTCAATATGGAAATTTACCCCTGGTATGTCTGTGACTGACCCCTAGTGGCTCAAAGAAGGTATACAGCCCTCATTATTATAGCCTGTCTAGTGGGTATCTTCTGGATACACTTTAAATATACTATATAACTCACTCATTTGAGTAAATTATGTCCAGTAAGACTCACACATGACCGATTACTCTGATCCCATGATGACACATGATCCATTAAAAGTTATATAAATTACTTAAAATTTAATATGTCGTATGCTACTTTTCCCTCCATCTCCTATTTATAATACTATACACGTTATATGGATATATGGACTAGCCCAACGTACCAGCCATCTAAATTGACAAATTGAATTGATACTGCCATCGGGAATGGCTGGACAAATTTTGATTATCGAAATACTAATCTCCATTTAGAAAGAATAAGAACTGACGAATTTATCTGCATTATAAAAAGCCTCAATATTTGATTATGTATATCAGAGGCATTCATTACCTAGTATTTATGTAGACACACTGGTATATGAGTATCTGGCAATTTATTTACGATCACCAAGCCATTTGATAATACCCGCACATGGGAATTTTGGGTATAAGCTCAGCTATTACTATTTTCACATGACTGCTAAGAACAGTATAGCGGGGGTTAATTCCGCCTGTAAATCGAGAATGAGGCTTGATAATGAAATGATCATTACCCTAATAGTGTCGTATATAATTTACTGCAAACCAATTAGTTTGAATGACTATCTGTTCCTGTCCAAATTAAAGATAATAAAGTTGCGTGCACGCAGAAGTAAATTCACACTGAGACACAAGGTTCAGGGTAATGAAAGAACTTCAGAGAAGTTTAATGGCTTCTGACAGAAAATGGGTGCGCAGACCCTTATAAAGGCATTATTACATCATTGAAGAAAATCAAGATATAGACAAATAGACATTGTTAATTGGCTTAGGTGCTAAGATGTTAGTAAAATGCCCTCCCCATTCTTAGGTCACTATCTACGTAATTTCTTAACTCCTACAGGTCTTAGCGCCATTTTGTTAAAATGAGGAGCTCACTCGACGGGAGGGGCCTTTTGGCAGCTATCCATTTGGAGCGTAGCTGGCACTTGTTAGTTTCTCAAGGTTAAGTTTCAAGGATTTTAGTAAATACACATTTTATCAAAGCTATTTCTTGCTGACATGCAAATTCTATGTTCTATAGACAAAGCTTCCTTGTAAAACTATGGGGGCCTCTTAGAGGTATAGCAAGAGGATTTAAAGGGGCCTTACAAATTTATAGAGGCCTAATAATTCTACAACAGTCCCCCCTAAAATGTTATTTGCTAAAAGACAAAACTTTATTTGTTAGTATCAGAAGAAGTATTAGCCCAAAGACACAGAAACCCCATGACAGCTGACTTAGTGTTAATGCAAAGTGCAAGTCTATCCCTCTCTTGACCCTAACGGGCTGCAGCACATCCGTCAGTACGGTTCAGGAACACTCTTCACTCCGCTGGTAACCCATAGTGGCTTATCCACTACTTCTCCGTACGGCAGTCTACCCATAAAGACGGATGCTGTCCCTGTACTGTCCCTTCCTAGACTTTCTGCACTTCATCAGTATACGGGAGAGTTTGTAGCGGAATACAGGGTGAGATGAGGTCTTGATCATCGATTGTCAGATGAGTGAAGGTTGGTGTTGCTTGGTTTACAGTTTTCTGCAGGAATTTCCTTAGGCATGGGAGGACACAACAAATGAGAAGAGCGAGAATAAAAAGAAAAATTAGTAAGGCAATACCAATCTGGACTAAAGCTCTCTGCCAACCAGTCATCCAACCAAACCATTTTTCCCAGGGATCAGTAACTCCAGAGTTTCTCTTTAACTCTTCTGAGAGTCTATTTAATTTAGCTATGGCCAGAGTGACTTTACCATTAGGACCTGTGTTTTCTGGAATGTAAGTGCAACAAGTCATAGTGTCGGGAAGTATTTTACAGACTTCCCCCTTTTTCGGCTAAGATCATGTCTAAGGCCAGTCTGTTCTGGAAGGTCATTTGGGTTGTGGCCTGTAATTGCTCGGCCAAGCCCTGGAGGGCATCCCTGGTGTAGTTCACGAAGCGCTGTTGGTTGTAATAGATATAATTAATCCAATTAAGGTTTTTGTTGGCAGTGACTATGGTAAAAAGTGATTCAAAACCTGCAGCTACTTCATCTCTAGCTTTAAATTCATTAGGTACCCCCCTAGGCACCCCAATGGCATCTATGTAAATGTGGGGGTCAAAACTGCCTTTTACTGGGGTTTCGCGCCTTACTCTGGCTGATGTATGTGGAGGGTCGTATGTGTCATGATGATTATCAGAAATAATATGAATGGGCATGATAACTTTGGCCAGGGTACACTCACCCCACCACTCAGTTTCCAGCCTAGATCTTAACTGTAGATCCCCACATAACCAGTAAATATCCCCCAATGACCTGGTATGGTGTTGCAACAGGCGTATAGGAACAGTTCTGTAAGTGGCGCAATAACCTTTAGAAAAATTACCCATGAATTTACCAATCCCGTCATACATGGCATAACAAGTGTAATTACCTCTATAGACTGTGATTCCATCTGGTGGCTTAACATTTTCAACTAAGAGAGGGTATTCTGCCATCCATGCCATGCAGAGGGACCTATTAAAGTCATATTGGTAGGCAAAAAGGCTTAAGAAGCAATCTTCTATCTCTAAAGGGAGAGTTAGGGGGACGGTGCCAAGGTGGGGTCGGGCACCGCCACATACATAATATGCTGTTTTATTATGTTTGTTAGCATTATACCTCATCCATTCTAACCACAGATTAATGTCATTGAATCCAGTTTCAGCGGCCATGGTATCTTCAAAAGTGGGGTTAGCGATGGCCATCATATCTTTAAAGGACTGGATATGTGGTTTTAGCGGATTTGGGACCATATGATCAGCCCCTTGCCACTCTGGAGAGTGGGACATATCTCTGAGGTAGAAATGACCTAATTTGTTGTAGGAACCTTTCTTCCAATACATTCCCATTACATATCGGTCTGCATCCTCGGGGCCAGGATGTTCAATATTTAACATTAATTTCATAGGGGTACTTCCTCCAGGCTTTCTTAAAGTCATTCTTTGAAGGAGGGATCTACCCTGATTGTCTATCTAAAGCACTTTTGGGTTTATAACCCCAGGCAGGCCCAGTATTCCATCCCGCAGCCCCCCAGTAGTTACAGTCATAACCCCATTGTTCATCTACTACACAAACGTAAGGGTCTTTTGCTTGTGGGATATCTTTATAAATGGCTTGAATCTGTGACTTAGGGAATGGGCATTCTACAATATCACAGTAATCAAAAGTGAATGTAGCCACATGGGTACATGATGAATTATACCAGAAAGTGTACCCACTAGCATCTTTGGTGATGGCCACCTGCTGGGCTTTAAGGAGGCCAACTAAGGAGATAATGTACCAGAGGCACATGGTTGCATAGAGTTAGCTTCCTCTGGGGCAGGTGTCTTCTTGCAATGGGAAGCGTGGATCCAGTTAGGCCTTCCGGACAATTTGACAGAGGTAGGGGAGATCAGGAGAACTTGGAACGGTCCGTCAAATCTTGGTTCCAGGGTATGTTTTCGCACAAATTTCTTGACCAGAACCCAGTCACCGGGGAGCAGACTGTGGTTGCCTGTGTCAGAATCAGGATCTGGAATTGAAGAGAAAACTTGGGCATGGATTTTGTTCAAAGCATTTGCGAGTTCAGTTACATAGTTTACTAAAACATCAGTATGAAGTTGTAATTGCTGGGGAAAATAGCAACCTAGCCTAGGTGCAGTCCCAAATAGAATCTCATATGGGGACAGTGAGGTAGTATTTTGTACAAGAGCATTCATTAGATCCTTTGATAAATGTGCAGGTCCGTGTGCCCATTGTACGACTGCTGGGTACAAATTCTTAGGGAGGCAGAAATTGAGGTTGTTGGAGTACACTCCATCCTTCAGAACTGCCCCTTTCTGTTTCCACTTCTGTATTTCTTCAGGGGCAACTGTAGCCTGTTGTTCCCGCAGGATTTTCAGGTCAGTTGGAAGAGTCTGCAGAGTAAATATGGGAGTTTCTTCATTTCCGGACACTCTTCTTCCCACTTCCTGTGGTTTTCTTGCAGCTTGTTTTGCAGCCTGATCAGCTAGATGGTTGCCCTTTGCTTCATCTGAGTCCAACTTCCCATGTGCCTTTACCTTCAGAATGGCCACTTCTTCTGGGAGAAGGAGGGCGTCCATCAGCTCCTTGATTGCGGAACCGTGCTTGATTGGTGTACCGGCGGTAATAAGAAATCCTCTTGTTTTCCAAATTAATCCGAAGTCGTGAGCCACGCCCAGTGCATATCTTGAATCCGTGTAGATATTGGCGCGCTTTCCTTCAGAGATCTTGCATGCTGAGGTCAGGGCTTGCAATTCAGCTTCTTGTGCAGACATAGTTGATGGTAAAGATGATGATTTGACAATTTCATCTGTTGTGGTTACGGCATATCCTGTATGGTATCTTCCTTCTTCATCAGCATATCTTGAGCCGTCCACAAACAGGGTGAGATCGGGATCTACCAATGGGTCTTCATGCACAGTTGGTAGATGTGTTGTTTCCATTTTCATCTGTTCAAAACAGTCATGAGGTGTATCTAGGTCGTAGTCATTCACTATGGTTAAATCTTGGAACTAATTTTCCAGGAAATGACGTGGCCATGCTTTTAGGTGGTCAGTTGTTGGATATTTGACAACACCATTTTCCTGTAGCTGTGATTCGTCCATAGTGGCCCATGCTTTTGCCATAGGCCCAAGATCATTCCAGTTTCGTCCATGATGAATCCGTAGTATACAGTTCGTCCATGATGAATCCGTAGTATACACCCCCCTCAGGGAGTGGCAGAAGAGTGGACGGATTGAGAACTTGACATCTTTGGAGGGTAATGTTGTCAGGCAACAAAAGATGACATTGAAGGCGAAGATGCCTGGCAGGAGTAACATGCTTAAGTTGGACCTGGTTGACTATGGCAGAAATGTCATGAGGGGCCAAGACAACCAGGGGGTGGCCAAGGACAAGATCTCCAGTTCTTTCAATGAGCTCTCTGGCAGCAAAGACGGCCCGAAGGCAAGAGGGACGTCCTCTGGCCACAATATCCAGTTGGCAGGAGAAAAATCCAATAGGCCTTTGGCGGCCTCCAGGACCATGGGCCTGAGTGAGTACTCCTGTTGCATGGCCTTGTCTTTCAGAAACAAACAATTTGAAGGGTTTGGTATAGTCTGGTAGGCCAAGAGCAGGAGCAGAAGCAATAGCATGTTTAAGAGTACAGAAGTTGTCAAGGGCTTCTGTGGACAAGCAAAATGGGTCTGACTTGAGAGCATCATAGAGAGGTTGCATAAGGAGTGAGGCTTCTGGGATCCATGCTCGGCAATAGGAAATGAGGCCTAGGAAGGCGTGTAGTGACTTTGAGGTCCTTGGAGGTGGAATGTCCAGTACTGCTCTAACTCGGTCACGAGTGAGATGTCTGGTTCCCTGAGACAGACAATGGCCAAGGAAGATAACAGTAGGTTGGCAGAATTGCAGCTTGAGACGTGAAGCTTCACATCCTTGTTCTGCTACATAGTAAAGAAGATTAATTGAGCATTGTTCTGTTGTGGGTAGATCATCTCCACAGTAAAATGGGAAGGGAACAAAGAACTGTAGTGTCTTTTCGTGACAAAGGTGTATTCAATTGAACCTGGCCGTCTGCAGTGAGGGTGATGGATGCTTGGAGGCAGGATAGGACATCAGCACCAACACAAGAGACATCGGTGTCAGGCAGGAACGATGAGTCAGGCAGGTCTTGTTCTCTAGGAACACTGCGGGATGCACCTGTGTTAACCAGGAAACCAGGAAAGTAGTAGGGTGACCTTCAATAGGTAAAGTTACAGTGACTAGTGGCCCCCCTTGTTCCCTGTAGACACTGCCATGGCAGGGGCATTAAGCATCAGCGGGTTTGCTCTCCTCTGTATGGGCTGTGTTACTGACTCAAACCCCTTTCTATGTCATTAGCCATAGCTTTTTGCAGTCTGAACATGTCTATCATTATAAATAATGGTTAATAGTAAGTGAAGTGAAGTTCCTATATGTCTTTGGATAAAACATTAACTATCGCGGTACTATCATTTATATTAAATAGACTATAACAATTATACCACCCTGTAACTAAAATAAACAACCAGTAGTAGCTGGGTTAATAAAACATGTCACTAATCCTTCTAATGCTAAACCATCATTTAAAGTAAAGGATGTTACTGTAAACATAAGATCTGTAACTAGCAAGATTCGATTAAGTAAAGATACAATGTTTAAAATAACTTGCATTATTTGGCTATTTCCCTTATTGCAAGATGAAGCTGGATAATCAGCTGTTATGCTCTTATATTCGTGTCCAACAGATTTCATATGTAGGTCACACCACAGTTGCAAATTACATTTTAGCAACCTTCTTTTTTTTTTATATCACGGACAAATTGCTGATACAGGGAAACAAATGGCATGATTGTTTTAGTAATTATAATGTTTCTGTTCATAATATGTAGAGTGTAAGGAAAACAACATGTCTCTAAATAGGACGAGCATAATAGGGTAGGCCTCATGATGGAGGCAGCCATGACAGGGGCGGGGAAGGAAATGACAGCAAGGGAGGAAGTGAGAGGGGTGACGTCCATGATATGTGTGGGAAAGGAAGACAGGAGGTGTGGGCATGGTAAGGGCGGAAGTGACGTCACTTTAGAAGCAACCGTGACTGTAGATAGGTCTGTACTAGGCGCCATCTTTAGGGTGGTGGCTGACGCACTTTCAACAATACACTATATTATAACTATTAAAATAAGTCAGAGAAGCAACATTCTGTTCTGCAAAATGAAATACTAAACTATGAACAGACCTGGCAGGTTGAATAAGACAGTTGAGAACATTATGCATTTAACAGCCCATACAGCTGTTTCTAGAAACATGTACTTTAAAATAACTTTAAAATAATAAAATGATGCAAAATAAACTCACGGAATTCAACCAATTTCCCTTATTATCCTCTAGCCATTAATCACTTTCCTCCTCTTATACTGACTTAACAACATCGCATATTCCCTCTATCAGTGTTAACAGGCTACACCTTCCTAAATCCCGTATTCAACACTGAATGCAATCTTGTGAGCCCGTCACTCCCACAATCCTCAGTACCTTATACTCAAAACATAATTTATAAATATATAGCACTACGGAATCTGTTGACGCCATCTAAATGGCAACAATAATAATATTATTACACAATTATAGCTCCATAACCTGCCTGACAACGTCTGTGTATGGAACAATGTACACAATACTACACAATTAGAATATTTTCCAGCAAAAATCCCGTCTCTAATTCTTATCAGTAGAAATGCAGGCAAGCGGGGAGGAAGGGGGGGAGAAAGTTAGACAGTGCAAAAAAGGGAGAGACTGCAGGCATGAAGATTAACCATGTGAGTGCTGTAAAGTAACAAGACAGAAGGACAGAGACTTATACGTTTGGAAACCAGAAATCTTTGACGGGAGAAACGGACTGGAGGTGCAGGGAGCTGCAGAGAGAGGATGAGGGTGACGAGATCTGTAGGACTGATGGGGGGGGGGAATAGGGATCCATCAGCATCCAGTAACACAATTATTATAATACACAAACAAACTTAAACCTTTGTGATCAATATCTTCCTCAACCTATCCCTTTTGCTGAATAGCTCTTGCTACTCGGTATCAGGCTTCTGCTGTACAAACCAAATCTTGGTCCAACAGCTTCTCTTTCTTCTCTGTCAGTAACTTACGCCAGCTCTCTGGCTACAATCTGCCGCACAGAGGTACGGTAATTCCACATACTTTAGCAATCTTCCTCACTTTCTTAACCATCTCTTCTCCTTCTCTGTCTTCCACTAGATCACATGCTAACCAACCCTTACTGGGTTTATCTAACTTCTGTCCCATCCTCCCTATACAAGGCGTCCCAGATATAGAGAGAGAAAGGAACAGAACGTCTACCGTGCTCGACTGCTACTTTAAGAGCAAGCTCTTTAAGTACGTCTTCCCAAAACGTAGACTAGTCACTGATTCCGCCTACCCGTGGTAGCCGCGGATTGGAGCGTGGCGAGAAGTGTGTGACCAATCACTTCTCTCAACAGAGAAAGAGAACTAGGAGGGGAAAGTGTAAGTAGTACAGTGAGTAAGATAAAAGTAAACACAGGAATCTGTGTGACAGACAATTAAGACAATAACATTTCAGTGTAAATACAGTGCATGCATCACAGTTCAAATAAGTTCAACAGTTTTATCCCTTGCCTTTACTCGTGTGGCCAAAAGCCACCTCCCTCAACCTCGTAGTGTCCCTGTTGCGGACCCACCCGCAAGTCTCACTACCAGCAGCCACAGGAAACAGCAACAGCTTCCAACCCGAATCCTGTATAGCCTAAAGAATTGGAATCTTACCTGCCTCAGCGCTCGAGGCTGGAATTTTACCAAGAAGCTAAGCGGTCAAAATGACACTCTGGGGAACCCCCAGGAAGCAATGAGTCTACATCATCCTCCACAGATTCCCCCTACTCTTTTTCCTTACAGCCACAGCCACGTGGCTCCTAAAAGAGATAAACAGGCAATAGAGGACCCCCAGGAAAACTTCCACAGGTCCACCCCCCTTTTTCCTTACTACCACAGGCATGTGGTACCTAAAAGGAGTTAAACAGGCACTTACACTCCCCGGGTACTAAGTTAAACACATACCAATACAAACACACCCAGGCAACAGATAGTCAACATGCAGGTAAACTAGGTATCATTAACAATACAAAGACTCTGGGCAAGTTATTACCTGACTTTGATGTCCTCTCGGCAGCAGTCACAGACACTGGGGCAGGTCAATCACAGGGGCAGGAACATACCGGCTAGGTGCTGCAGCAATCTCTACCGTGTATTCAGAGGTGATCAGGCTCTTTTCCTTCCCCCAGGACAGCTGCCCAGACTGGACATAGCCCAGAGCCCCACGTTGAAAGCGCCAATTTGTCGTATATAATTTACTGCAAACCAATTAGTTTGAATGACTATCTGTTCCTGTCCAAATTAAAGATAATAAAGTTGCGTGCACGCAGAAGTAAATTCACACTGAGACACAAGGTTCAGGGTAATGAAAGAACTTCAGAGAAGTTTAATGGCTTCTGACAGAAAATGGGTGCGCAGACCCTTATAAAGGCATTATTACATCATTGAAGAAAATCAAGATATAGACAAATAGACATTGTTAATTGGCTTAGGTGCTAAGATGTTAGTAAAATGCCCTCCCCATTCTTAGGTCACTATCTACGTAATTTCTTAACTCCTACAGGTCTTAGCGCCATTTTGTTAAAATGAGGAGCTCACTCGACGGGAGGGGCCTTTTGGCAGCTATCCATTTGGAGCGTAGCTGGCACTTGTTAGTTTCTCAAGGTTAAGTTTCAAGGATTTTAGTAAATACACATTTTATCAAAGCTATTTCTTGCTGACATGCAAATTCTATGTTCTATAGACAAAGCTTCCTTGTAAAACTATGGGGGCCTCTTAGAGGTATAGCAAGAGGATTTAAAGGGGCCTTACAAATTTATAGAGGCCTAATAATTCTACAACAATAGGAAGTACAGTTAACCTGACCGCCCATATTTATATAATCCTTATGATATCCTGGGATAGGTATTAGGTCCCCATGGCTGAGCGAGGGTTAAAATCCCTTATTTCCACTTTTTAGAGGTTTTTCGCTCAAAGCCTCTCTACCCATTCTCATGATCCTACAGGCGTCCAGATAACCCATGATGAACCGTCTACTTCTCAAACAATGCCTTGCGATAGCAATACACTGACTTTACATGATATAAATGTCTTGACGAATCATCCGTCTCTGATTATAAAATTTACACAGATATATTCACCTTCGTCCTTTCCCTATTCTATGAAGCAAGTCACTCCATCCAATGAGTACATACAGGGTTAAATATAAACCACACAATGTAGAGGTGGACTTAACCCTGATTGGAGCTTTTTTTTTTTTTTTTTTTTTAACAGCGAATTAGCATATTCTGACGTCATTTTGGCGCCGACTGACGGTCCACATAGGAACCCTGATTGGTGGAATCCTCTCAACAGTTACAATACCAGGGGTATTTAAACAAGGTCTAGGGTCCATAACGAATTCAGCCCCTGACGAAGGTGCATCACAGCACCGAAACGCGCGTCGGGTTGAAGGAGGTTTTTCTCCTTCACTTTCACTCACTTTTTATTTTCACTTCTAGGGCACTATTTCACGATGTGTAGGTAACCAGCACTCTAAGCATGGTTCTACACATTAGCACTATTATTTCCTAATTTTTCACCTTTTCCTCCTGTCACTCCTGATATGCTATCTAGATTGGAACTATCTATTTGATTGAGGAATCTGGACTGGCTCTGTATGTATTTGAGGGGGCAACAGATACTCTTTGTACCCCATAGCGATTTAGGAAACCACTAACTTAAGATTTATCATTTATGACATATTTTGTGATTAATCTACGAATTTTCATGTAGACTTTTTTCCTTTTATTATATGTTACTTGGTATCCAGCTAAATGCTGTTATCCTTAATTGCTGATTGCTTAACTACACTCTTATTGTAGCTCTTTTGATACAGCGGGCTTTGCTACAAGTGTTACTTTATATACAGCCACTATTCAAAGTTCCTCTTTGACTGATTGTCTTTTCCATCTAGATTACAGGAGTCAATTTAAAGGCTCATTCCACAACCGCTTTTACTGTTGACATGGACATACTATGGTTGATTATATTAAAGTCCTGAGTCTCAAATAGATTCTTTACTTCTAAGAGTCCTTTAGACAGGAGAAGAGCCATTTAGGCTATTTTAATCACTTGAATCTACGTATGAACCCTCTCTATATTCCGACATATTGATGGCAATTTTGATTTAATTATTTATTATTTACTAATATTTTGTCCAGCTGACAGTCCTGGTTCTGGTTTCAGTGACCAGTAACAGGAAAGTCATTTTTTTGTGGAATTCTCTGCCTGAAGAAGTGGTTTTATCAGAGTCCATACAGATGTTCAAACGGCTACTAGATGCATACTTGCAAGAACAGAATATTCAAGGATATAATCTTTCAATGTAGGGTAATAACTGCTTGATCCAAGGATAAATCTGACTGCCATTCTGGGGTCAAGAAGGATTTTTTTTCCTAGCTTGTGCTTCAAACTGGGTTTTTTAATTTTTTTTGCCTTCTTTTGGATCAACAGCAAAAAACAAATGTGAGGTAGGCTGAACTTGATGGACGCAAGTCTCTTTTCAGCTATGTAACTATGTAACTATGTAACTATGTAACTATATCCAGTTCTACTTGCCTGGATGTTGATGCTCAGATTATACACGTATATGAACTGAACCTTATATATTGACCCTGTATATTTCACAAAAAAATGTTAAATATATTCTTCAGTCACTTTTGCTGGCTGAGTAATCTCACCTGTCATCTTTCAGACTGATTTGCTGGCTTTAAACGTTTGACTTTGGACTCCTAGATACTATTTTATAGTAAAATACCTGTTTTCTCATGTCATATAAACTGCCAGTCTGGTTTTAACTACTTTGTTCCTCTTTATAGCTTTCTGCATTATAATTGTCTTTCTCCTGATATTTATTAGACAAAATCAGTAAGTGTATCGTGTCCTTTAAAGGACCACTATAGGCACCCAGACCACTTCAGCTTAATGAAGTGGTCTGGGTACCAGGTCCAGCTAAGATTAACCCTTTCTTTTATAAACATAGCAGTTTCAGAGAAACTGCTATGTTTATAATAGGGTTAATCCAGCCTCTAGTGGCTGTCGCTTTGCCGCTCATGCTCATTCAGCCAGGGACGTCAGAAGAGGGAGGAGAGTCCCAGCACCGAGGGAGCCCGGCGCTGGAAAAAAGGTAAGTGATTAACCCCTTCCTCCCCCCTCAGCGCCACAGGAGTGGGACCCTGAGGGTGGGAGCACCCTCAGGCACTATAGTGCCAGGAAAACGAGTATGTTTTCCTGGCACTATAGTGGTCCTTTAAGAACGCATACTCTTTCTCACTTGCAGAATGAATAAACAAAATTCAGTGAGTATGTCTGAATTCTGACAGGATTGGCATTCTCATATATACTAAAGACAAATGGTGTCTGCTTTAAAGGGAAACTATAGTGGCAGGAAAACAAACAAATTTTCCTGGTACTATAGCTTACTCCTCAGTCAAGGATCCCCCTCTCCCTCCGCATGGTTTAAAAACCCCTTCTGTCACTTACCTGGGTTCAGCACCAATGCGCCTTCTTTCCTACTGCTAAGACACCAGCCAGCGGGAGATACCTAATGTGCATGCCACTCTCGCATTAGGTTATTACCCATTGGAAAACATTATTCAATGCTTTCCTATGGGGTTTTGGGTGACGCTGGACATCCCTATGCATAGTGTGAGAACAACCAGCATCAGTTAGGCAACAAAAAGTCGCTTAACCACCCGGAAGTCCCTCTAGTGGCTGTCTGGTAGAAAGCCACTAGAGGTGGAGTTAAACCTTGCAGGCAATTGTTAAAGTTTCTTAAAAACTACAATAATTACCTGCTCAGGGTTAAGGAACCTGGGGCAGTGCACCCAGTTCACTTCAATGAACTGTAGTGGGCTGGGTGCCTATTGTGCAGGCATAGGCAACCTTCGGCACACCAGATGATTTGGACTACACCTCCCACGATGCTTTAAAAGCATTGTGGATGTAAGAGCATTATGGGTAATGTAGTCCACAAAATGAGTGGTTTTCACATTTTAATCCTATATAAAGTATAGTATCTGGACAGTTACAGCGCACTGATTTTAAACAAAATCCAGACAAAAATGCGCATTAAGATGCACATGTGATTATTATAATTATTTTAGTTATCCTAAATAATAAAAAACTGGATTATTTACCTGCTGGTAATCTTAGAATCCACTAGACAAATAGTTAAAAATAAAAATAAAAAGAACTTGTTCGTGCATGGGTTAAATGGGTTAAAACAATTATAAAAACAAAAAACAAAAAAAAAAGACTAAAAGGGGTCAACATAAATCTGTGAGAAGGAATCAATGGGATATGAATAAAAATGTATTTTATGGACATTATTAATGTTATATTAGCAGACATTATATCATCATGATCAATGTCCTTTAATATAGATAAAGGTTTATGTTCATATTTAAAAGAAAATGTGTAACTTTAAATAGGTCAAACATGAAATACCAGTAAAAGTAGCTTTGCAGACATCATATATGGCATCACAATTCTTTTAAAAATAAACTCATTTTAATTTAACCTATCCCTTTTTTTTCCTCAAGCAAACAAGGAATTTGAACTGGAATTAAGGTACAATATCTCTTTGTATCAGGCAACATAACAATGTAAGCATGTTTAAGAAAAAAACAGCTTATTTTGAAATAACCAATAATAAGCATTAATGTTGTTAAACTATTTTGGATAATTACATTAAATTGCCTATATTTAAGTACATGGTATAATGGATAATGAGACCAAATCCTTTTTACTGCATCGGATATTCTGTCTTATAAAAATAACTTTCATTACAAAACAGATCAGTGAACTGTAGAGGAATCTGAAACTGAATTGAAAGCTAACAGTAGTCATTATCTATTTTTAATGACATAAACCATTATATATAAATATTCATTAACAAAATAATGTTTTTTTTTTTTTCAGTTTTCATCATTAAAGTATTTAAAAGATTAAGAAGGAGATAAATGGTACAGCACTCTATAGGTTGTGAAGAATATTATTATTATTATTATTGCCATTTATATAGAACCAACAGATTCCGTAGCGCTTTACATTATTAGAGGGGGATTTAACTATAAATAGAACAATTACAAGAAAACTTACAGAAATGATAGGTTGAAGAGGGCCCCGCTCAAACGAGCTTACAGTCTATCAATTAATGTATGAAAACCATCGGTCAACATTCCTAAGATTAATTCCTAAAGTGCAGATAACGTATCAATTTGCACCTGAGCAATTGCAAAAAACAACAACACTTTTAAACAGGTTTGCATGTCAGGCTTTGGGAAGAGTCCAACGAAAGTGGTTTCTAAAATTTATTTTACTGTTTATTATATTG